GGCTTATAATGCATTATACATTTAAACTTAGAGAAAAGTGTGCTTGCAGATGCAAATAATATAACTAAAAATTTCTCAAACCCATTTTTTTTTACAAATTCCAAGTGGTTATGAATAAATAAATACATAAAATTTACCCTTTTTCAAGCTGTGCTCTCTACTGTAGGGGCAAAGGTTGATCGCTTGTTAAGTTTTTTAAAATAGAATAGTGACATCAGTGACTCATTTTAAAAGGAGACAATTAGTATTCAAAAACAAAATTTTCATCAACGCTTATCTCWAAGTACCATGCATGAATGCAAATTAGAATTCTGGCTGTTTAGCACACCAAAAGCTACCCACCCTTTGGCACAAATGGGGTTCTTTGACTTTGTGGATAAACTAAGAGGTCAAGCTAATCATTAAAAATGACCCACTGAAGCAAATTCACTCCAAAATTAAAGTTCTAGAAAGTGATTTGCATTAGGGTTGTTCACTTAAATTTATACATAATTTTAATGTAACATTTTTTTGTATTGTCTGTATTGAAACTTGAAAAAGTTACGTTTGTGTAAATTATTCGTTAACAGTTGTTAAATGTTTTTTTAATATAAAAAACATAACAAAGCATTACACTTATTTCATTCATCTTCCTTGTAAATAGTTTAATGCTCATTTGTTGTCTACAAAAAAAGCTTGCTGCAAAAAAGGATAGAAATAACAAAGCTACTGCTGTATTTGTTATTCGTTATGTTGTCATTCATTGTCAGCATGCATTCTCAAATGAGCTTAAACTGCTTTTCAACAAAATACTGATTTCTACAACTTCTAATTTTGCTCATTACAAGTTCAAAAGCCTGCTGTCCCTTTGAAAATGATGCATAACCCCCCAAAACAGAATATTGCTAAAACATCAAAATATGGGTTAGTTCAGGTATTTTTTTTGTCCTTATCATGGGACCACATGTTAAGTGAATAAATGGATAAGCAGTGCAGGTTATGGTTCAGTTCTCAAAGGGGTTGGTTGAACTGAAGGAAAGAAAGTAGAAGCTCAAGCAGCAGGAACATTGTCCTGCTGGCCTGATCAAGCTGGATTATGCTGAGTTAGTGTTTGCAGATTAAATGAAACAAATACAAACAAAGAACCAGCATAGTAGCACTGTCAGCTTTAACTGACTGAAAGCAGACAACCCCTAGAAAAGACCAAAATAGGGATACCCTTGGGATCAACAATGCAATGTTGTTGCTGTTGTCTGAAATTGAACACATAGTTAAGTTGGACTTGCGTATACAGCTATCTTAGCTAAAATCTAAAAWAATAATAATAATAAGTTAACTATGTAAAAAAATGGAATCTTTGTGTATCAAAACAAACTTTCAAACATTCTAAATGCATTTTCAATAGATCGTGATGTCTTAATTGTGTGAAAAGTCCTCAGAATCAAAGCCAATTTTACACAGTATGGGTTGTCTGTTTCAGTCTGTTAAGGCTTTGCTGACTCTTTAGGAAGCGTCAGGTTCAGAAGCCCAAACACACAGGTAAAGATTTACTGACAGAAAAAAACAAGGAAGAAAACAAAAAAGAAGGCAAAGCTGTTGTGGTGGCTGCTTGATCACTGTCGRAACAACAACACGGAGTGAAACAGGACAGAGGGAGCCAGAATGGTTCTACACCGGGCCAGGGCTGGTAAWTTCTAATGGAGATGAGATATGTGAGATGTTAGAGTTTATTAATATTGTAATTTTTTTTAAACTGCATAAGTATGTCTGGCTGGCTGCCTCCGCACTGTGCACTGCAATGCGCCCCTTTTTAATGCAATCTCCGATACCCATTATGTAATTAAGGAGGTGCATGGTTAGAATGCAGGTAGATAAAGAAGTAATAGACGCATTTCTGCTGTTGCGCAGAGAGAAAAGCAGTGAGGTGCTGGAGGCTCAAAGAGCCAGAATGCAGCAGACACATGCAGTCAGACACAGGCAATATACCTTGGAGGAAAAGAGCCGGAGGAGCTTTTGTCCAAAGAGGAGACAAATAAAATGTGTAATTGCAAAAAAGTAACAAACAAAAAYAATTATAATAAATAATAAAATAAATAAATAACTAAAAAACTTGCATAAACATTATAATAAATAAATAAATAGACACAGACACAAAAATAGTGTCTGACAGTTTTGACTACTTTAACTTCTCAGTCAACATGAAACGGGAAAAATACTGCAGAGACAGAAATGTTAAAGACAACAGGGGAGATGCATGTTGAAATATGTGTATCTCACAGGTTTTCTACATCAACTCAGGTAACACAGACAAATAAACACATGAACAAAACTGTAAAAAATATACAAATAGATAAAATCAGACTAGTACAAAACAGTATATTAAATTAAATAACTAGTTTAAATTTCACCATAATCACATACAGCTTCTCATCATCAACAATCTTTGAATAGTTTCTTTGTAAATTTAATCATTTTTTAAAATAACTTGAAAATATTATATACCTGTTCCACTT